CCTTAGCTTCATCCACCTTGTTCTGTTTCATTAACACAAACAACACCAAGAACAAGTTATATATTTGGCATATTGAACATAATATGCTTATGTCATTGCTAGACTCTGAATTCAGATAATTTATTGATCGTGTTTGTCCAAATTCACAGTTTGACAACATAAGCATAAGCATGCATTTATGTTACGACAACATATGACTAGCTACTATGATCAGCTCACCTCTCTGTAGAGCCATCTGGGAGACTCAGGAAGCGACAACATCAATATGAACTGAACCACAGCTGGAAGTCCTGCGACTCCAAGCATCCAACGCCACGTTCCAGGAGCTTTCGTGAAGGCCAGATTGATGAGGTATGACAGGAATTGTCCTCCTGTAATCAACATACCGTTTGTGCTAACAAGAGCTCCTCTGATTCTATGAGGAGAAGCTTCCGAGATGTAAAGGGGTGCGGTCATGGAAGCCATTCCAACTCCCACACCAACTATAACTCTTCCAATGATGATCACCCACGGAGCTGGAGCCACAGCCATAACTATTGCACCCACGAAGAACACCACGTCCGCGATCAGGATTGATTTTTTCCGGCCAAGGGCATCGTTCATCCATCCACCAAATGCAGCCCCAATGATGGCGCCTGCAACTGCCATACTCACTATGGTCTCCTGCAGCCATGTTTTCCTGTCAACTTCGCGAAAGTCCTCACGAATGTATAGTAATGCCCCGGAGATTACACCTACAGCGCCACACCAATAACAACACGTCCAATTAGTGCATAGACATTTTTCCTTTGAATGAATTCATTGTTGGTATAAATATAATTGAGATTTTAATTACCTGTATCGTAACCGAAAAGGAGGCCTCCAATGCCGGCAGAGAGAGCGAGACGCATAATGTAAGGCGTCTTCCATGTTGTCCTCCAGCACTCTGTGAACTCTGTTTTACTAGAAGGGTGGGCTCCCCCCTCCACCATTTTCTTCTTCTTCTTCTTCTTCTTCTTCCAAGCAACTCAGTGCTCGCTGAAAATTAATGCAACAAGCAACCAATGCATGCATGCAGTGGTTCAGTTTCTGTATTTGAAATTACAAATATCAATCAATCACTTGCTAATCCTATTAACATGGCGGTACTTCTTCTTGATATATAGGCATTGGAAGACGAATTTAGTTGCTAGGGAAATGGATAAAGACTCATTGACCATCATACTGTCAGCCTTAGTTACAAAACAATCCTAAATTAAAGCCTCCACACGCATTTTCTTATCTGTCTTCAGTTTTTACATCACAAGAATAGCTGTTCAATCTCAACAAGGAGAACTAATTTCGATTTGACACGAAAATGGAAATAAATACATTAGCATGCCACCATATAATTATATACCATATGATCTGTGTCTTACCAAGTGACTACTTAACTTTTGTTGTTATTGGTGTTGAGCTCCTGTTTCCTCCGGTCTCTGACCGCTCCGTAGAAGCACCTTTGAAGCTGCTTTTTTAAAGATTGCTGATGTTCAAAAATCACCAAAGAGATTGCTGGTGTTAAAAGACCTAATTTGGAAGAAGAAGGTTTGGGGGTCCTTGTAATGTGTATATACCATACCTAGTTTTGACAATGTGGAATTCTCTAGGCTCAACACTTTTCTCTCCAACGCCTCACTCTCTCTGTTTCCTTACATGCCCTCAAATGTCGCCAATTACTGACCGCTATGTAGTGCATTGACCGATTTCTGTTGAGAACCATCTCGCCCATTAGCCATGCAACAAGTTTCTTCAATTTGTATATATCATTCCTACTATTTCTTTACTATTTTTAGACATTCATGAGCAGAGCATATTTCCAAATACAATTTCTTCTTAACTGTAGTGTAGATGTGATGTCAAACTTTTATCTAAAATCTTCAACTCTCTCATTTTCAAGGATTGGATTAAGGTCCACTAAACTCAAATATAATTCCCCTAAATATGGTCAACTTATATAAATATTTAGGCTGACCTCATATTATTCAAAGAAGATACCAACTGGACAGGATTTGAAAAAATAGAAAAAAAAATAAAAAATCATGTCAAGAATGGGATTCGAACCCATGCCCTTTCGGACCAGTACCTGAAACTGGCGCCTTAGACCAACTCGGCCATCTTGACCTTGTTGTTGATCCCTCCAACAAACACATTCAAATAGCAACTGAATATGGGGAAAATTATTTTAGGCCTTCTGGTTTTGATTGGTCGACAATCTACATGCTTTGGCGCATTGGACCTCTCTCTCTCTCTATAGGCCCCAATTTAGTTTAAGGTTATGCATGCAAAAATATTACTTTGGCTTTATGCATCCATGATTTCTTTAACTGTAATGACTTGTGCTCTTTCCCCATTGCAAATATGGAAGTGGGGTTTTGAACTAGACGAAAAGACCTTCATATTTTGACCATATGGATTATTTGACACCAGCATTGGTTGTTGCAGCTTTGGTCCAAAAATATGATTTTAGAGAATAAAAATAATTGTTTTAGAGTACATTGAAGAGAACATATATCAGAGGACTAAAGAGACTTGTATTGCTTGACTCAAGAAGATTCAAAATTCTTGCTTTGCTTTTCCTTTGAAGCAAATGGCTTGGGTCTGAAGCCTTTCTGAAGCAACTTCTCAACCTCCTCAAATTGCATCCCTTTGGTTTCAGGAACCAGCAAGTAAATGGCTACAAGTCCAATGACAGAAATGCCAGCAAAGAGGAGGAAGGTGCCAGCAGATCCCAGAGCATGAGTCAGGGTCAAGAAGGTCTCACTCACTATGAGATTGGCACTCCAATTTGCAACTGCAGCCATTCCTCCACATGTGCCTCTGTATCTCAGTGGGTATATTTCTGAGTTGACAATCCAGGGTACAGTTCCCATTCCTGGTGCATAGATAATGATATACAATCCCAATAGAATCACTGCAAATAACCCAACTTTGCTTGGACAACCTTTGCTGTACCATACACGATGTTCTTGGCGACAAGAACTCCTAATATCATCGTTAAGAGCCAAGCAAGCTCCCGGGGCATACTGACAATTGCAACAAGGGAAAAGCAATCAGAATTTATTGGATCATAAGTATCTCACAAGGCAACTTGAGAAGAAGGCCAAAGTAAATGCGGAGAACTTACATTGACTTTGTTAGCACAGAAACCACAGTCTGCTTGCAAACACGTCATGCAGTTCCATGATCCAGGATTAGGAGCAGACCCATAAGCTGAACATGTAGAATTTTTACCAAAGTGAGTGGATTCCAAGTTACTAATATGTGGAGCATGAGATGCTGCCTGGAAAAACACTCCAGATAACACTACCAGGCAACTGATAATCCCAATCATAGAAACAATCATCAGCCTTCTCCTCCCATATCTATCCACAAAGCACATGCTGATAATGGTGCCAACCACGTTGAGGCCAGAAGTGATAAGAGAGAGTGCTAAAGCCGTCTGGTTCGATGCAAATCCAGCAAACTGAACGATTGTTGGGCTGTAATACATAACTGTATTAATACCCACAAATTGCTGAGCCACTTGAACAGTAATGCCTGCATACAGTCCTCTTCGAACCACAGGGTTGCTCCAAGCACCCTTTACTTTTGTTATCATGCCATCCCCAGCATTTCCTTCCTCAGCCTTTTCAGCTTGGACAGATTCATGCAAGGCTTTCATTTCATTTTCTGTAAGATGGCCCTCGCCTCATCTGCCTTATTCTGTTTAACACAAAGAAAACAAAACTGAGTATGGTAGTATACACATAATCAAGTAATTATGTATGAAAAGTAAAAAACTAATGCTACAATCAGACCAATCTCAATGAAGAAGAAAGATCTAAGTTTAGCAAGTTTGTTGCCTTATGTCAACCTTAAAACATATTTAAGATATTTCAATATGCTTGAATAACTATGACAATGATCATGCACAGAATATAGTTAAGATGAGAGTTTGATAAATGGTCACCTGTCTGTAGAGCCATCGGGGAGACTCTGGGAGTGACAACATCAGTACAAATTGAACCAAAGCAGGAACTCCTGCTACACCAAGCATCCAGCGCCAGGTTCCAGGAGCCTGAAGCAAATTAATTTCACAACAATTAATTAAGTTGAAATTGATATAATTGATTTTTTATTGTTCAAAATTGTTGTCTTTGTGACATATGCAATTGAACTGAAGCTTCAAATGTAATAGGTACCCTGGTGAAGGCGAGATTGATGAGGTAGGACAAGAATTGTCCTCCTGTAATTAGAAAACCATTTGTACTGACTAGAGCTCCTCTGATTCTAGCAGGAGAGGCTTCTGATATGTAGAGCGGTGAGGTCATGGAAGCCATTCCAACTCCCAAGCCAACCAGAATTCTCCCAATTATGATCACCGACGGAGCTGGAGCGACAGCCATAACTATTGCACCAATGAAGAACACAAAGTCTGCAGCTAGAATTGACTTCTTCCGGCCAAAGGCGTCGTTCATCCATCCACCAATTGCAGCACCAAAGATGGCCCCTGCAATAGCCATACTCACTATGGTTTCCTACAAATTAATGTCAATGAACAATACCACAAAGTTAGCTGAGACATACATAAAATATGAGCTTAATCAGTTACACTGATTAACATGAACAAAACAGTGGAAATGTTATAACTTACCTGCAGCCATGTTTTCTTGTCAACCTCGCGAAAGTCCTCACGAATGTATAGTAAAGCCCCAGAAATCACACCTACAGTACTCCAACAACACAGATAGAATTAGAAAATAGTTACATGGATCCTGCATAGAATTTTGTCCTTTGAATATGAACTAAATTAATTGTTGGTTTGGATAATTGTGGTTTTAGAAGAGATTTAAGTAAGCAAGCACCTGTATCGTATCCGAAAAGGAGGCCTCCAATGCCAGCAGAGAGAGCAAGACGCATAATGTAAGGCGTCTTCCATGTTGTCCTCCAACACTCTGTGAACTCTGTCTTACTAGCAGGCGGGTGTCCTCCCTCCATATCATGCACTATTTCTTCCAAGTAAACTCACTCTAACCCTGAAATTAAAAAATCAACTGCTATCAATCTTTTGAATTTTGAGGCAGCCAATTCACATTCATTTGTTGCACCCAATACCATAAATAAAAGAAAATAAAGAAAAATATATGTTCTTTATGGGCAAACAATTCAAATGAATTCAGTCTCAAAATTAAAAAATTAATAACAAATCAAATAAAATCCTTTGTTATGATAAAAAAGAAAAAGAAAAAAAAAGAAAAGAAGAAGGTATAAAGTCCTAATCCCATATCAAAACGTAGAGGGAAATTATGAATTTGATAATCTTCTTCTTTTAAAACACCTTCCTACTGCAAGAAAGATTGGTTCCAAAACACATGCATATATGAAAGAAGCCATGGTTCGCCATTCTTTGGCTGTTTACTTTCCTTCTTCTACCATTGGACGCTTACCCCAGAGAGAAAACAAAAAACAAAAACAAAAAACATACGAACAAGAGCAATGCTGAAAAACAAAAACCATTACCTTGCTATGCCTTATGGATTGAAGCTCTTCCCTTCTGTTCTTCTGCCTCCTAGTTTTAGATTAGAGTTGGGTTTTCTCTGTACTTCGAATTTTGATGATGATGATGATCAACTTTTATCTAATTATGTAAAATATTTTTGTGAGGGATGGATGATAATATATATATCTATTATGATTGATTTTGAAATATAAAAGCGTACCTGTTTCCTTTTTATTAATTAAATTGTTGAGAGTTTCTATAGAAGTATAACAGAGACTACATAAAGAGGAGAGAGCACCCGTGGTGATTGAGTGAGTGAGTGAAATTAGTTGCAGAAAAGGATTCTATTGGATAAAGGAAGAAACCAGTCAACACAAACCCAATGACAAAACACAACCAATGACAAAATCAAATTTGTCTGCATTTAATCTACCAACGTAATCCTAGGCGATTTTGTCGTTTTTTTCTTCTTTTTTTCTCTTGGTTGCATTACAGGTGTCTTCTGTTCTTTTGCAGACGGAATTATAGTGCAGACTGGTACTTTTATAAAATCTTTGGTCTTTGGAAACCCAATAAACAAAGATTATATTTGCAAAAAAACCTACTCAAACAAAACTCATGCAACGTTCCCCTGCTTCACTAAAACCATGTGTTTGTGCGCGAGCGCTACAGCCTACAGCCTACAGGATATTTCAAAGAAAACAAGATAGGCTAGGCTGATTGCTTGAACACGAAACTAGTAATAAATCTTACCTCTATGCACCAGGCGAGAGGCTTTTGTACCTGATGATGATCTTAGGTTGAAGAAACAGATGTCTTATATTTCTATGGTTGCGAATTACCCAAAAGACTAATAAATATACAGCATCCCTGATTTCGATTTAATTTCAAAATGGAAATGGAAATAACATTAGCATTGACAACAAGGATAAAACAAATTAAAATATTTCACCCTATATGGTAATGCGTGCTCGTGAAGTAGACCTTCGTATCGTAGTATCTAACATATTAGTGCAGGTTTCTATTGTTGAATTTAGAACACAAATAGAAACCATGTTTATGAGATTGGATAGGATTCGCACCTAAGATTGAATTGTAATGGATAACATTACATCGGAGAGAATAATCACTTATTTCAATGATTTGTCTAGTGCTACGCATAATTAAGCAGGATCTTACGTATCAAGAAATGTTAGGAATCATAACAAATATTAGGAGTAATGACTTCAATCTTATCCAGATGTAGTCAAATTAGGTTATCAAGAAATGTCAGGCTCATTCACTTTCTGTTTTCTTACATTGAATCACGCAATTCCTCCATGGCTACAAACCAAGGTAACAAAAATTTACAAACCATTACACAAGATATTATTATGAAATCTACCACACATACTATGAACAATTTATTTTTCTTGTATGTAAATATTAATAGAACATTTACATACATGACCATTCAATTCAAATTCCTGGTTTTTCACATGTCCTATTATAATTATTATATTTATCTATATATATATATATAAAACAAAAAGCAGATATCTATATATATAAAGCAAAAGGCAGAGAATGGTGAAACATTCAAAATACCAGAAAATGCCCTTGATTAATTCAAACATTAAGAATTGAAATTATTAATTAAATGAGGATAATTTGGTAATTCACATTTTTTCATATAAAAAATAAAAATAAAAATAAAATCAGATAATAGGTCCTACTTTTATGGAACATAACTACCATGTTATCTTTTCTTAATTCTAAAAATAAAATAAAAAATAAAAAATGAAACCAATTGGCACACTCTCACCCGTGTGCCAAGGAGCTAGTATATATAAAGCAAAAGGCAGAGAATAGTGAAATATTTAAAATATCATAAAATGTCATTGGTTAATCCAAACATTAAGAATTAAAATTATTAATTAAATGAAGATAATATGGTAAATTCACTTTTTTTTATATTTAAAAAAGATTAAAATTAAAAGAAAAATCAGATAATGAATCCTATTTTTATGGAACACAACTACCCATTATCTTTTTTAATTCTAAAATAAATTTAATTTTCTTTATGAAAAAAGCCTTTTGTAAGTGCGGTAGCACATACGGAGAGGCTAGTATCATAATATGACACCTGATACTACCGTATTATTCTATAATTTATCGATTAGGTCAGTCTCTTACTTTTTCGGTCGGATGGGCCTCATTCTGTACTTTCCAATTCAACCCTAGGTCATCCGCAAATCCCCTTTATCTTGGCCCATGCATTGATAGTTTCTTTACAACTGTTTTACCGTTACTGTTTTCACGTTGGAAGAGAATTTCTTAGCTAGACGAAAAACCCCTCACATCTTTGAACATATTCCGAAATTACCTTTGATATCGTCCTCATCCCCCTCATTTGTCCGATGTGTGCTTCTGACGCTCTCTGTGCACTTTTATCCTCTCACCTCTCTCCGCTGGCCGTCCCCCCTCCTATCACCGCCGTTCGCCACCGATCTTCACCTTTGATTACCCTTCATCACAACACCCACGGTCTCTTTCTCTTTCTCTCTCTCTCTCTCAACCTTGTAAATTTGAGATTTGTATTCCTTAGGAGTTGCGGCTCTTTTCGATCTCCAAATTTCGATTTGTTTATTTTTGAAATGTTCGATATCATTGTCATCGTTATCGTTTGGTTTGTTGTGCTTATTGGGTAGATAATGAAAAATGTTTGAATGGATCGGGTTGTGGCAGGTTTGGACACGTCCAAGCTATTGATCCATTATTGACCCCGCAATCTGGTAATTTGTGGATTTAAAATTCCTAATTTCTCTGTTCATGCATATTAATTCCTAAAAACATAATGTTTACGTCTACAAGTTATTATTTTCAATAGGATCGGGATTGCTGGGTGAATATGACGACGAGTGAATGTTACTGGGTTGGTTTGTTAGCCTGCCCCAGTATGGCATTCATCTGGGTAAAAGCCATGATTTTTTTCCCCTCTGACTTTTTAGCTATATTTGAGAATTAAAGAGTCTGAGTTACAGTGACCATGTTGTTTTTTAAAATTGTGTACTCTTATTTTTACCCCTAAAAAGGAAAACTATGTAAGCTTATCCCCCACTTTGGAACAGTCCACCAACTTCTCAGAGCTTAGCATTGTTTTTGGTGATTAGCAATTTATTGTAATTGCTTAGCAATTTGAGACATGTGGGGCTTTTTAAAATGGAAATGTGAATAAGGATGATTCAGTTTAGCTCTTTCTCAGGAAGTAGTTGATCAATCTGGTTTTAATTAGCATCCCCTTTTATTTTCTTGACTTGGAAGACTAGCATAAAGTAGTTTACTTCAAGAGTTAGGTTCTTTTAGTGATTAGTGGTGAGGTTTGCAATATAAAGTTGATATTCTGAATAATGCAGCCATGTGACCTTTGACACGATAATGTTAAACATTTGAGACTTTAAGAAATCTAAAATTTCATGTTGTTTCAGCATCATTGTCTCATGGTGCAATCTCTTACAAGAGTAACTGAATTAGCTAATCATCATTGCCTCTGATTTCTAGGTTTCAGCCTTAAAGCACTGAGTGGGAGGGAAAGCTGGAGTCGGAGGAGGCTAAAATTACGGTCAAAGAAGGCATTGAGGTACTACATATAGCCCATGCGAGGGTAAAATGTTTTGGAGCATGCATACTTGTGTAGACTGCAAGCACAAAGGCGGTTGCATACCGATCTCTCATGTTTAAATTATTTTGCTTTTACACCTTACGCTTTGGTTCCCAGTCCCCTAGAGAAAATAATAGTTGTAACAATCTTGACAGGGGAATAATTTGGCTTTAACATTTCACATCCAATTCATGATTAGAAGTCTGTAATACCTGATGCTTTCTTGATGCTGCAGGGTTTGGCACTTTTTTTATGTAGGGCTAGATTGTAATTTGAAATGGAGAAAGCTATCCAGATAGATTTACATCTGTAGAAGGAATCTAAGAGGGGGCAGGGAGGGTACTATCTTTAATCCTACCTTAGCTTTGTAAGGTAGGTAGCCTCAAATTCTGTTATTGCTGGAAAGCTTTTTCGCTTTATATACCTTCCCTGCCTTACACATTTCCTCTGGCAACTGTTTTATTTTTGTACAGAGAATCATTTCTGCAGTTTGAACAGGGTAAAGTAGATATTTTGTAGGTTATTAGTCGCTTAAAGATCCATCCAGGCTACTCACTATTAATATGGTCCATTAGCTCAACAAATCTGTACACTTTGGGCAATGGCTTTTTATTCGGGGGAGGAAAAGACTGAGGATTATCTGTTCAAGATTGTTTTAATTGGTGATTCAGCGGTCGGAAAATCTAATTTGCTTGCAAGATTTGCTAGAGATGAGTTCTACCCTAATTCAAAGTCAACTATAGGAGTAGAGTTCCAAACCCAAAAGATGGATAT